GAAAGCATACCATTTAACATTGTCTTGCAATTTGACCTTAGTCCAGCAATGGATTAAGGTTTACTGGAAAGTTACCATGCACCTGATGTATTACTAAAGTATTCAAGAAATTTTCTTGTGGAAGGCTTACATTGATAAATAACTGCACACGCATTATTTATAAGAGAAAAGAATTCTTTTTTAATGATGCTTGAAACTATATCATTAAAATGAATTATTTTCATCAAATTTCCTTTCACAAGACCTTTTTTGGCAGAATCCCTGATACATCATGCAATTGGTGTTCAAGATTAAATTTTATTTTTTAATCAGACCAAAAAGGAACACTTTCTTAATGGGAAAACAACAATTTTCATGCTGGTTCAGGGATTCCTGTGAATGACGAGAACTTTTTGCTAGCCCACTCTGTGTCTCCTGACTCTGAGTGCCTCTTTCCTGTCTAACTAAGACCATCGCACGTGGCTCGCATACAAACTCTGTGCTGTCCTACATTATTTACTCCTTAGCAGTGTCCATCTGAGTATACTAGCAATTTTCAAGACAAGTAAGAATTCTCTGGCTTCTTTCATGATCAGGAAGCCAAATGGAAGAGTAAATTTCTTGATAATCCAAAGAAGTAAATTTCTTGTTAATCCAAAGAAACTGCATCAGGAAGTTCTTTAAAATTATATTCGAATTCCCAAACTTCTTCAGCAGTTTCCCTTGAAAGTGAAACAGATCAGAGGCATTACAAAATTGGATATCATTCATGATTTTTTTTGCATCACTTGAAAAAGTTGGGTAACTTTTGCAGTAGCTTTTGTTGTAGTCTTTTTTTTTAGGAAATAAAAACAAAATAACGTTAGGGAGAAAATATTATATAAAATATTTGTTTAAATGACATGATTGAATTTATGCTTTAACATTTGCGGGAAAACAAAGTAGAAATGTGACTCTGTGAAGAAACCCGAAGTGTCTCTCATTTCTTTTGAACCTAAAAAACAAAGTATACTTTCTTCTACGGTATCAAAGAACATATAATAACAGATATACCTCCATATACATCTCCTGTCAACTTTAACATCAAACACAGCACAGCAGTCAGAAAAATTGCGAAAAATGACATCCTCCTACGCTTGTCACATACAGTGAGATGATCATGATTAGTAATCTGTGAAAATGCAAGAGAACATGCAATTTTCTCCTATCATGGAACAGACGAAATCTTTTTGAGTATATAGGAGGAGCCAATTACTTCAACTAGAATTTCTTCTCCACTCTGACTCGAGTTTTTTATGGAAACCTTTGACACTATTCCTGCTCTGACCTCAGAGACCCATGCTAATAGGATCTTCTGGTTCTCTGGTTTTGAATGGATCTGGGTTTTATCTGTGAACCAATAAGGAAAATCGTGACATTTTTGCCAGTCGAGGTCAAAAGACTGGCTGATTTCGTGTGTGTGTGTGTGTGTGTGTATGTGCTGCAATAAGATCCGCAAAATGTGGTATTCTTATAAATTATGAAAATATGCTTTAAACTTGTGTCAGTCAAAATAAAACAAAAAAAAGTTGTGGCATCTCAATAATAGCAACTACTTTTTTGTGAGATCCTTTTCATATGAAATCCTTTTAAAATCCCTTCATTGAATAACATATTGGTAATGAATATTTTTGAGGATATTCCACTAAGTAATTCTCATTTATCAGATTCCACAAAAACTCTTAGTCCAAAAAAATATACGATTTTGTCTGATCCAAAACACGTTGTTAATCACATGTACAGTATAGTTGAAGACAGAAATTGTTCAAATTCTTGCGAATTTTTCACATTAGTACTCATAATATTTTCTTTTAATGAGGTTTGTAAAATGAGATGAGAATTTATGTGTTTTCATTCCAGCGCGAATCAGCTGCTTGAAAATGTTCAAAAATGCCTTTTAATTTCTGGTTTGATTATAAGTTTTGTTGTAATTTTATTTTGAAATTTTGCTAATTCGCCTTTCATTTCTGGGGTTTTCCATCACAGGGATCACTCTAAACATCACAACATGAAGCAGAATTGTCTTTTTTTTTAAATAATTGGACCTAAGGAAAATGTGTTTTAATTATAAAAAAGAAGGATCAGAAGATGCTGTAATTTTATCAAGGGTATATACTCTGTTCTTGTTTGATGGAGTCAGTTTTTGTTCCCTTTCTTTTTTGCTCAAGTCGTGCAAGGGAGCAGTAAAGTAAAGTATAATGCATCAATACCTGGAAAGTTCAAAGCTTTTTCCATGCTGGAGGTTTTGATGCAAGTGCTGCTTTAATCTAGATAGGAATAAAAATCCTGAAAGCATACTTGAGAGTAGAAATCTGCTTCATCCTGGAAGGTTTATATAGTGACTTCACTCTAACTTTGTGTAAATCTGTCCAAGTTTTTATTGCGAGTAAAATCCCGGAAGTTGGAGAAATCTGATTTTCCTTTTGCTAAGAAAGAGATCCTTTGGGATCAAGATGTTCCTTGCATGGTCAGCAACAGGATATTGATGTGTCACTCACAATCTCCTTTGTAGTCTATTCGATTCATGTTCGCTGTATCATAAAAAGGCAATAAGAACGATTCATTCTCAATCTCTTCTCCATGAAATATCAGGAAAAGTTTTCTCTTCCCATATATAGAAGCACAAATTAATCAGAAAAACTGCAGAATTTTTACAGGAAAGATACATTCCACAGCCTCTTCAATTTTTCTATTTTACATCTTCTTCACTCCGGAAATTAAAAAATAATGATTCAAATACACTGAAGATTATCCTGGCTATCACATTGAAAGACTCACGAAGGCACGCGGCACTAGGACACTTTTCATAAAAGCCATTCAATTAACTTATTAAAGCAATGAATAAAAGCAGTGAAAATACATCTGCAAATTGTTTTTTGTTATTAAAATGCGCTTGTAACATGTTTCAAAAAATGTAAAGAGCTTCAATTTTGTAAAAACAAAATTTTTAAATGAATTTTTTTAGGGATCCTTTTATAAAAATCCAAGAGCATTTTCTCTCAGCCGTCTCTCTCCAAAATTGTCAACTCAATCAAGAAACCCGAAACCAACCCCTTACAAAAAAAATCCAACTCTGCCGTGAATTCCACTTGGCCCTTAAAGAAAATTCTTGTATCTTCTTCCGTGTATGGAAGAAGAGTTTATATTCAGGTCACAACCCCTGCATAAATTGCAATGAAATACTTCTCCTTGAAAAAGGCATTTTTCCTGCCCTTGCATGCAAACATGGTTAGAGTTTCCAGCCAGGTTTTCTAGGAAGAGAAAGAAATTTTCCAGGATAAATGCATTAAATTTTACTTCTTAACCATCATCAGCATAACCTTGTACTAAATCCTTGTGCCTCTATAAACAAAAACCAAGATATTTTGCAAGACTTGATTCAAAGGCATTGACTGTACAGTATTTTGAGGCTTTTGTTGTTGTTTCAAACAAATAATGCAAAAATATTTCGGTGCACACCAAAAAATCGCATCAAATAAAGAAAACGTTCAGGAATAAATCATCAGAAGAAAAAATCACAGCATACTGCAGTAATGAAATGAAGGCACTCTAAAAATTCATATTGATGGAAAAAGAAACACAATTTCTAGTCATGTGATTTTATGCTTCACATTTGGATGTAATTAATTTAATTAAGTCTCTAGTCACCAGAGCACCTTCTCTTCTTATGTCCAGCATTTGAAAGGGATAGAAATCAGCTTGAGAAAGATTTAAAATTACCAAAATTTATTGAAGAGACACTTTCTGAAATCTTAAAGGATCAAGATACAATTTTGGCCTTATATGACTTCTCATCAAAGATTCTCTCTAAATTGTTCATTGAACTAAAACTCATGCAGAAACAGGCTGAAGACCTGGTGCTTTAGATAAAATTTTACTGCTGCTTTGTCTTCAATATTGGGGATGGGTGGGTGTATACAGAATACGTGTGGGATGTCCAGTTTTATTTTGTGGAGTGTGTTCTTTCTTTTGTTTTTGTCATTGGTTTGTGCTTTGTTTCATGCTTTGAAGTGATTGAATGTCTTTGGGGGGAGTTGGGTTGGTTGGGGAAGGGGTTTGGATGCAGGAGTCTTGGTTGTGCCTTGTGAATGCTGAAAAGCAGAAAATAAAGTTTTCTGTTCATTCATTCAAGTCTCTAGTCTGTGTTTTTATTTTCAGCAAGTTGGGTCTATTTGCTATTTTCCACCTGAGAAATTCCCTAAAGATGTTCTGATATGATTAAATTTTATTGTAACACAATGTGACTCATAGTTGGACGCATTCTATTCACACAGCATTTTCTGACTCATTAACAATATTTGCATTTGGCATTATTCCTGGGAAAAGTTTTGTCTAGACATTTTGCAGCACACTGTGTTCTTCCAGCCTATTTTTTTGGAAGATTGAGATTCCCAGAAAGTAATTTTGCAAACAAAGAGGCAAGGTATCACATCCTGCCTTTGCATAAATCATGTGCTATACAAAGCTGTGCAATTATTTTTCTTCTGCACACCAAGAATAAAATGTCACGTAAATTTTCGCTCTGATTTCTTCTCTCTAGTATAATGGCTGAATGCAGACCCACACACACACACACACACATAAATATCCCAGAAGTAAAACATTTCGTGTCAGGCCAGGTCAGATGCATGAATGACTATATATGAAAAAAAAATGCTGCAGGAATAAAAAGAAAACCTTCTCATCCCAAGAAAACTTTTGGCTTGCCAGCAGGTCCAGGATTTCTTCATCTAGAAAAACTCATTCCTTTCTATATGGGAAAAAGCCCGCGAGTTTTCCAGGAGATGCTGCTGTGCTGGAAACCCCCCTCTAATACCCCCCAGGATGCCCTTTTCCTTCACCCCCGGAATGTCACTCAGTTGTCTGTCTTGCCTGAAGGTGTGCTCAGCTCTCTGCTGCTGCTGCTGGTGATGGTGTTTATTTGTTTTATTGACCTGTGGCCAAAGTGAGAGAAAAAACATCGTTTCCCTGCACATTATAGACAAGGATTTCCTCCGAAATCCCATCACCGACGTTTTCGACTGATCCGGAAGGAAGGAAATACGAGACCGGAAGAGGAAATCAGAGGAAAAACCAGAGTAAACTCTGGAAGCAATTTTGAAGCGGGGGTAAACAAGTTTGGACAGAAGGTTGAGCCACGACTTCCTCTTCAACTTGCTATTTTGCATCATCTGAAAAGGAATCCTTCTCAATTTAAATTCACAGTAAATAAAATATATGGATACGTTTAAATTCGACCTTTCGGATTTGGGATTTTTCGCAGTTTACCATTAAATTATGAAGCAAACTATAACAGATACCTGTATATGAGAATTATACAAAAATCTGAAGACTCACAAAATACTGTACCTCATCATCATAAAAATTAACTCTCAGGAAATTCAAAATTATTTAAAACTACATTTGCAAAAAATTAGAACAGAATACAGAAATAAATTCATTCAAATCTTTGCAAAATTCGGCTGCAGCTTTTGAACATAGAATAATTTAATTTATGAAGCTCTTAGTGCTTCATCTCTTGCCCTGTCCAAGCTATAAAAGCCATATGAATCACAAGAGCATCTCTGGAAAGAGTTGCTGCCTGCCAAAAAAAATGTCTGGAAAGTCATCTGCATTTTTCTATAAAAAATAAATGCCTGAGGAATCCCTGAGACACTCGTGTCCCACAATGTCCAAGCCATTCGAAGTCTTGCGAATAATGAAACAAGTTCAAAAGAATCCTTGAAAAAGTAGTCCTGAAGATTTTCTGGCCATAAAAACCCCTCTTCCAAAATACCATACCTTATTCTCTGTAGAAGGAAAAGACAATTTTGAAGCACACCGTGTTTTATATCGTACTTCGTCTGGGCTATTTAAGTTTCACGGTTCAGGAAAATATCACAATGGAATCCCTGTTGATAAATCTCTTGGATTTAATGCCCAAGAGATTCTACATAAAATGTTCTGATATTTCCTGAAAGGAAAGACCTATGCACAATTCACCCAGTGTTTCATCCCCTCCAAATGTCTAAGAAACTTCCTGCCTATAGGAATCAAGACTTCAAGAATATTGTACCTGTTTATAGCACAAAAGAATTTATAAACATATACATTTCTTAAGATTTCTCTTTCAAAAAAAAATTTGAATAATGTATAATCCTCTATAAAAAAAAGAATTACCAACGAGATGTTTCAAAATTAAGAATAAGAAACAAACCTCCAGAATAAATCTCCAAATATTTCCAGGTTTACGAAATCTGCATTTACCCTCTTTTTTGGGGGGAAAGGATCCCTTTTTCGAGCACCCAGTACTTAAAACAGCTCCCAACTTGTAAGCAAATGAAATAATTCAAGTAATTTTTTATGAATCTTATGGTATAATAACTTGTGGATGCTGACATGCAGCCCTCTTTGTTCTCTGTGTGGGTGGAATTCCTTTTGATATGCTGATGAGGGGGTCTATCAACTTGAAGGATCCCTCTGAAGGATCATGCATCAAGGATAGATCTGAATCAGAAATGGAGAAATATTCTCCCATTTGATGTATTTCCAGAGATTATCATCAATGCTTTGAGGAAACAATTCTCAACAAATTGACTGCTTATTATCATTTTTTTTTAAGTAAAAAACTGTAAAACATGCTTTTATTGATACCATCTCTGACAAACTGCTATTGAAACTCCTTTTATTCAGTATATTGCAAGTAATTTTATAAATTCATTCACTTCAAAGGATTTATTTTTAACGGTGATGATGGTGTTTGGCATGAATGGAACTAACAGAAGAGCAGTTAATGAAAATGCAAATAAGGGAAAAACCAAAGTATGACCAATCAGCCAGTTTGCGGCTAAGAGCATGTATATTGAATGGTATATATACCGTTCATATATATTCCCAGTTTTTCAGATTTTGTATTGTGTAATATGATGGAAAAGAAATTTACATGATTCACAAGGAACTCTATAAACTCTACACAGCAATAAGTGAGTAAAAAAAAATTTGTGCGCAAATCCAAATCTAAACACAGCATAAATATATAAAGATAGATTAGGGCTAAAAAGAGAGCAGTGGTTCTTCACAATGAAGGTTGTGTGAAGTCTGCTTTTTCATTGAAATGAAAGTTTGGAGATGAGGAAAAACCTTCTGTGGGATTTTCTCAATAAATCCTCTCCACAACAATTTGGAAAAAATCAGTGTTACTAGATACATGTGAAATCAGTATTCATTGTCAACTAAAAAATTCCACTGATGAAATACTCTATTTTTTGCACCCTGTACAATAGAACAGATTTTCAGGTCAGAGCATCAAATTAAGCCTTTGTGGGCCAAGAAGGGATTTGCCAGGTTTTTTCTGCGGAACTAATCTCTGTCTCTGCATGCCACTATATAGGTACAATTTTGTTTCTTTTGTGCTTTTTTTGCTTTCTAGAAAGAATCTCATTATTTTTCCTTTTTTGTACTTCCATACTGTTTCTTCCTGACCTCAAATTGTTTCCTCCAGATTTATTCATCGAATTACCACGGAATTTGTTTCTCATTTATTCCTCTGTTTTTTCATCATCTGCAACTTCAAAGAAACCGAGGAATGTTTTCATGGAGGAAAATCCTGATGTCTTTGTTTGAATTTGCATAAATTTGAGGCATATGGAAGCCCTGCATAATATAAAAAACGCATTTCCGGCAATTCATGCTTGGTTGGTGAGGAAAATTGAAGTATAAGAAAGATTCCTGAAACTTCTGAATAATCATGCCACCAAAATTTTATTTTTGCAAGTCCGGCCGGGGGAAAAGTTTTTAAGCTGCAAATTGGCCTCAAACTTTTCTCGGCTAACTTTCCAGATGTGCATCACATGTCTGCTGAAACTTATTTGTGTCTGCTACAAGTGCAATGGAACATAAACTGCGTAATTAAGTAGTTCCGGATGGCCTTAAAATTTTCCGGGGTATCTCGCAGAATTAATTGCAGCTGCCTCAAGAAACCCAGAGGCGAAAGACAAGTTTGAGTCTTGCCAGGTTTTCCAGAACCAGTTTCTGGATAATTGATGTTTTGGTTCTATAGTCTGTGTTTTCATGCCATTGGATACGTTTATTTCGGGCACAAAGTTCTTCATGCATGTTTCACGGATCGATATTTTTTTGGGTGTGAAGTAAACAAGACTTTCTTATTAAATTTCAAGCTGATCCTCACGGGAGATTGAATGAAGTTTTGGGAGCTTGGGAAGGTAATTATTTTCCCATGTTATATATAGTCTAAAAATAATTCAACCTCAGCTTTTCTGGATGCTGTTTCGAATCAATCAGCCTTTCATTTTGTTTTGATAAAAATGCATCATTTTATTTTATATCAAAAATTATAGTTTCTGGAGAGAAGTTTCCATGAAAATTACACGTTTTCCTTTTTTAAAGCGGAAATTTTGTATGAGTATACTGTTGTCCGTAGACTGAGGGAATAAAATGTGAGCTTCAAATAAAAATACTTTCAAATATATGCAATCCACAATATAAATATTTGAACAATCACACAAACATAATTGAAAATAGAGAGATTCAAAGAGAGTCTTGCTAAATTGTTTTGCAAGTCTCTCTGAGAAATAACTGCAATAAGTGGGTATATATACTGTATCTATTAATATAAATATATATACATACAAGTTAGTTCAAAGAACCATTCCTTCTAAATCAGCAATTTCGAAGGGAGAAACAGTGAGGGTTGTTTGTCACTGTTGTCAAGTAGCAAATTGTAAAAACAGAATGAGCATAAATGAGCATCACAATTTAATGTGGGATGACGCAAGTAGGGGGAGAACAAAAACAAGGAAACAGCTGCAAAGGAACAGGAAACCTTTTTGAAAAAATTTTCTTCCCATATAAGGAGAGAGAAAAGAATATAACCCAATTTGGTTTCTGGTTAACCATACCAACAAAGGTTATTAATGCAACATTTCATTATTACAAGTAGTAGAGCATCTGCAGTGTGGACAAAAAAACAAAAAAATATGAAAAAATGATTGCAGAAGTGTGATTTGAACCCACGCCTGCAGAACCAGACTGTGACCTGAATGCAGCGCCTTAGACCGCTCAGCCATCCTGACATCTTAATGTTAATTGATGCATTTTCAAGTAGGCAAATTAATTCAAGGTGCAAAAGGCCACATACACACATGACACAATGTCCTTATTATTCCCCCCCAGACCCCTGTAGGATCCTACTGGTCGTTCCTCCCACTGCGGATGTAAATGTTGCTAAGGATGTATACATAGAAGATTTTTTAAAGAAAGCATTATTTTTTTCAATATTCTAGGATGTCATTATTCTGAGGAAAGTATAGTTTCTAAACATGAAAAAATCACTTAGAAACATATGACACCAAGTAAGACATTGTTCGTACGTACTAACGAAATATCACTTCACTCGGAATTTAAAGTACCTAAATAGTAACGGACTTTTAAATCTCCTACGAAGTCAAAAAACACTCGGTCTTTTTTAAATATATTATGGTTAGGAAATGTTACTTTCTAGATAAAAAATGGTCTTTGAAAATTCAGAGTCTCATCTGGAGGAAAGGTATAATATTTAGGCAAGAAGGACCTCATCATCCAGTCTTTTTTGTTTTATGCAAATAAAAGATATCATAGATGCAAAAATTTGTTGCAATTTTGGGAAAAGAAAAAAAGGTTATCTGATACCCATGCAGGATAAGTTGTTCATGCAGATTTGTCATCAAATGTAAGGAATATTTTCTTTTGAAGAAAAGTGGTCCTTAAATAATACAACAGTACTATACCCTCATTTGAGGTGGGAGAAATGACATGAATATATATAAATATCCAAAAATATAGACCTCATTCAAGTGTTATACATTTTTCTTGTGAGGAGCAGTCTTTTAAGTATACACTACGGGGACGTATTTCCAAACGTACGTGTTGACAGTAGTGAAAGTCCTTTATATGTCTAGGGAACCTAGCTGTAGGGTAAGTGGTGACTACTCTTTACCCACGACTTCCTTATAGTAGAGGTCTTCTCTTTTGTGTCACTCAGGTTGTTGATGACTTCTGCTCCAGGCTTCAGCAGAAAGACAGATTGAAGGGACAGGCACAGGGATTATTTGTGTGCTGTTTATTCTTATATACTGAGCAAGCAATCTGGGCACAACACTGGGTTATTGTTCCTGATCTCATGATGCAGTAGCTTTGTTTTTGTTTCAGCTGAGCTTGGATGGGAATCAAGTCCCAGCTACATGCTTTCCTTGAGCACTTCCAATAATGACTGCTGGTCCCTTTTTCAATTTTTCTGACTGCACCTCTGAGCACCAACCAACTCCAGAACACTTCACATCAGTGTTCCCAAACCTTTTCCGGCCCAAAGACTAGCCAATATCTTCCAAATTTTTTGCAGACTGGGAAATGTTCAAAAAAAATTTCCAGACTTAAAATGTTTTGCCTGAAAGACTTTTATAGGCAGCTATAAACAGTTTAAACAGTTTCTGCTTTTTGCAGAGATTAAGTTAAGAACCAATGAAGCAACTCTAGTAGAATGCCTTCAAAAATTAGAGAGGTGGGCATTTGAATTTTGAAAGAGATTTCTCAGTTAAAAATTAAAATAGCACAGATGAAAATTTGCTGGAAGATTCCTAGCAGAAAAGCCAATGTGCACTTCTCATCTGACTGCCAGTGTCTTTCCAAAATTCCAAATAAAGATAACAGACTTCATTCCTGCTACTTTTGATATATGTACAGAATTATGCCAAGGAACATTTCCTGCAGACTGGCAAAAATGTTTGTGCTGGTCTGTATATAGGCAATGGGTGTTGGGGATGGGGAACACTGCTTTCTATCATCCTGCAGCTGCGTCAGTCAGAAATACTTTCTTTGACAATTAGCTTTGTTTTTGTTTCAGCTGAGCTTGGATGGGAATCAAGTCCCAGCTACATGCTTTCCTTGAGCACTTCCAATAATGACTGCTGGTCCCTTTTTCAATTTTTCTGACTGCACCTCTGAGCACCACTCAACTTCAGAACACTTCATATCAGTGTTCCCAAACCGTTTTGGGCCCAAAGACTAGCCAAAATCTTTGAAATTTCTTGCAGACTGGGAAAGGTTGAAAAAAAATGTCAGACTTTAAAATGTTTTGCTTGAAAGACTTTTATATAGGCAGCTATTTAAAAAGCTTATACTTTCTTGCAGAGATTAAGTTGAGAACCGATGAAGCAGCTTTAGTAGAATGTCTTCAAAAATTAGAAAGGTGGGCATTTGAATTTTAGAAGAGATTTCTCAGTTAAAAATTAAAATAGCTCAGATGAAAATTTGCTGGAAGATTCCTAGCAGAAAAGCCAATGTGCACTTCTCATCAGACTGCCAGTGTCTTTCCAAAATTCCAAATAAAGATAACAGACTTCATTCCTGCTTCTTTTGATATATGTACAGAATTATGCCAAAGAACATTTCCTGCAGACTGGCAAAAATGTTTGTGCTGGTCTGTATATAGGCAATGGGTGTTGGGGATGGGGAACACTGCTTTCTATCATCCTGCAGCTGCGTCAGTCAGAAATACTTTCTTTGACAAGATACAGTAATTTAATGTTGTATTTTTTGGAGAAGAGAGCACAAAAATATTAAAAAAATATTTTCACTATGAAAACAGCAACCAATCAAAGAATTCAAATTGCACAAAGTATAATCCAATAACCGGTTTTTTGGGATGCTTGCAAGGTCTGCACAACTTGACAATGAGGAATTGAATGATGATAAAAATGTGGTCAAAACTAACCACCATAATTCTTTGGGTGAAGAAGAGAAATAGTTTGTCCTTGCAGACTTTCACATTTGTTTAATGAATGAAAAAACTATTTGGAACAGGTTGAATACCTTTTGCTTTAATTTGTGCTCAGTAATTGCCTTCTGCTATGATTTTTGCCATTAGAAAAAGTAGAAATTCAAGCACATGCATGTGCTATGATGTATTTTCTTCAATACCCAGCATATAATGTGTCATGAAATACTTGATGTCATTCTTTCTTGCTAGCAGACAACGCTTGAAGCAGTTGCATGTTTCCCTACTTTAATGTCCCAATTATGTTCTGCTCCAAGTCAGGTATCCCCAAGTTATGTAACTTGGTCCTGAAACAAGATCAGATCTGGGTCTGACCGGTCTTGCCCAATCTTGGACTGCAAAATCTATAAAGCCACATGCCTTAGGAGACAGGAATTCTCAGCAATGTTCCAGAATATTCAACCTGCAACAGATTGACAATGCCAGTTTAATTGAATCGCAGTCAGTCTAGCGCAAGATCTCATCAGAGTCAGTTGAATTTCTGTAAGATTGTTTTTGCTGTGTGATTATTTAATCTTGGGGTTAAAACGAAATATATTTTTATATTTTTCTTTGGGATCTTGCGAACAAGATCCCCAGCTGAACCCCACAGCTGATTGAAGTGTTTTATTTCCAAATTCCGTGTCTTTTTGTACCATTTTTGGTTACGCTTGAGACCTTTGTATTTATCAAACATTGAATGAATGTCTGATAACAAGTGAATATTTGTTGTTTGGTTGAATAGATGTGTGAGGGAGGGGGGAATGAAGGTGTTGTGAACCTGGTAAATCTCACAAAAGGGGGCAAAATTGACTTTGTTAGCTAAATCACAATGCCAGTGTGTCAAGTTCCCAGTTTATTTTAGGTTGAAAATGGCAAAATCTGAGCAAAAAGTAGCTGAGAATTGCTGGACTCTTTTCTGCTGAAAAATTACATGTATTCACCTTTTGCATGCAGAAAAATTGAATCAGAACTTAACATGGATGAGTCGATATGCAAGTGTCAATTCTTTGTTTTAAAATCAACTTTTCAATAGAACCCAGCTTTTGAAACATTGTAGTTCAATAATTGGTCAAAAAATGTGTCCATAACGACAACAGTTACATTTAATGCTTCTTATCGCAATTTTTTCTCCTCTTTTTATTGCCAAAAGTCCCGTAGTTCTTTTTTTATTTTTGTTGCAACCCAAAAAGAAGAAAATGTTGAGTTTGTGGCTGGTTTTTGGGTTGCACTTGTCCTGCCTGTCGATGCAATCAGTGCAGTCGAGTCGAAGTCGATCCCAGTATTCGAGGGTCATTTCCGAGCGGACCTACTCATGGTGACTGTCGCACCGGGGCCTTCACGAGGCCCAAAGGCATGACGAAGGCTTGCTGGGGACCATGGAACGCCGAGAGGGATCCCATTCACGGATTGGAACAGAGTTGGGGGCGTGCAGCCTTTGGATATGAGAACAACAACAACAAATGAAGGAAAAATTGTATAGGTTGAAACATTAAAAACCAATAACGAAGAAGGCACGGTGGTCAAGAGTAGTTCAGACCCGTTTTTAGATTACGATATTTTCAAAGTCACAATACAATAAAATTCAGTAAAATAGATGGAGGACGAGCTGAAACAGAACTCGAATGGAAGTTGAATGAGACTCCTTAAAATTGCAATTCTCTCAAATTCATTTGAGAGAATCAGAGTGTACTGCTGTGTGCGTTAACAAATAACGTTTTCAGAAGTGCTGAAGACCTTCTACATCAATAAAATCCAGCAGCAGAATTTCCGGAAAATGTGGAATTCCTGTTTAAAACCAGATTCTCGGTGTCTCTTCCACTTGTGTCCAGCTAAAAGACCCCCGATGAGCACTTCATTAAAATGCTGCTCACGGTAATTTAATTTCAAGTGTTTGCTGGTAATTTCTGAAGGATATTGTTACGATTATTTCTCACGTACCTACTCAAAATGAATAAATCCCCTCCACAAGATAAATTGAGTTTACGAAATCGATACATAATATGTCGGGGGACAAGCCGGAAAAGTTTTCGTTTTTCATCATCGATCTTTTATTTTATTTTATTTAATTGGAAACGACGGTGAAATGGAAAATTTCAGAAGAAAGCAAACACGAAAAAAACACATTTCACCAGCAATGTGCAGCGAACATGGGTTCATTCACAATTCATGAGTCCCATGGCCTTTCTTGGTTCTTTGAAACTAAAGTAGAACCTACTCGTTTTTTCAGACCGGTAAGTTGGTAACTTCGAAGCATCTTACTTTTTAATTCCGTTTTTCAAATCAAGTCCGAAGACTCCTTTTTTTTACGCTCTTTTTTTAGAGAGCAAAACTTCACGAAAAAATGGCTTTGGGTAAATTATTCCTACTGTTGAAACTTCATGCTTTATAACATTTGAAAATGTGCTGAAATTGAGAGAACCATATGCCATGTCCTTGCTTCAAACGAAGGCATCTCTTTTTATTTTTAAATCTCAGAAACGTTTGAAAAATTAAATTTTCTGCATGATTTTGGTCATCAACAATTGTGTTGGTGAAACTTGCTGCTTTCGAACTTGCTGCGCACCCAACCTGCTGCAAGCAGTTGAACTTGCCACTGTCACAACTTGCCGCAGTGTTAACTTGCCCCTGTGATAAGTTGCCGCTGCAACAACTCACAGCTGTAATGACTTTCTGCTATCAAAACTTGTTGAATGAATTGCAGCCACTTGCCATTGCACTGACTAAAGTTTCAGGGAAAAAATGAATTTCCACATTCTTCCACTTAACCCTTGGGCGGCAAAGTCGGAATATTTTTGCTAAAATTTTGTTGCACCTCAGAGAGGTCAAGAAAAAAATGAAAACAGGTGGTGAAGGGCGAAGTCAGGAAAAATCCCGACATTTTTTTCCCTGGGGGCAGAAAAATTTTTCAGGAAAATTAAAAAAATGCTGAGGGACACTACCGGCTTTTCTTGGATTAATCCCAACTTTGCCTCAGCCCACCTGGAAGGGTTTTCCTGACCTTCGAAAAACTTAAAATGAGGGAGCATACAAAAAAAATCCAATTTTGTCCTGCTATGGGAAAGAACCCTCCAGCATCTGAGGGTTAACTAGGCATTCCGCTGTGTGAAAATTTATAGAATATACAGACAAGGGGATTTCAATGGATTCATTCATCCTGAACTAGTACTACTGGTGGCTAAATGATGTGCATTTTATTTTTGATGGCAAGCTTTTCTCATCTTAGTCTATAGTACATTTTTTTCAATTGCAAACATTTCCTGCTGTGAAATAAGTTTTAAAAATTTTTAGAACTGTCTGAATTAATCATCAAGTACAGCAAGTTGAAAGAGTGGCAACTTATAACTAGTGTAAGTTGTAACTGCAGTGAGAAATGATTGCAGCAACTTGTTGCAGCAGCAACTTGTGACTGCAGTCACTTCTGGCTGTGGTCAGTTGCAGCAGTGGCAAGTTAGGGTGCGGCAAGTTGAAGTGCGGCAAATTCCACTGCAGCGAATTTCACCTGCACCATCAACAATTAAGAATGTGCTGAAAAAATATAACTTGAGGGGAATGAATTCAAAAATTGGAGGTTGATGGGAAGGATTTTAGACTGTTATACTGTATTCCATTCATAAATCCCATCTTATCTCTTCAAACTGTAGTTCAGTACCACATGAGTACCTTGATTTTGGACTCATCATTCAGTCATTTGGAATTGAGGAATTTGATTGGTAATGTTGTGAAAAATTATGGAACTTTCAAAATATAAAGCATCAGAGGGTGAAAATGTGAATTTCATTCATTTATTCTAATTTTCAAAGGTTATTTTCCATCCTGCTGAGAAAAATTGACAAGTGACAAAAAAACTTTTTGGAAAATCTGTTTTTAATAAATTCTGTAGATTTCTACTTTCAAAATGTACAGTTCCATAAAAAACCTACTCAGGAGCACACTGAAAAAATGCTTCCACTTGGTGTAGTTTATTATAATTGGAAATATTCGAAGGATTTTTAATATTTTTGAGTCTTATTGCTTGTTTTGTTCAAAGGTTGCCGGTCGTTAGGTCTACCGTTATCTTTTTCACGCCGAAAACGTCGACGAAGGTTTAGTCGTGTAGGTACAGTTTTACGACCTGAGGTCCACAAGGTTGTAAATGCGGGGGATACTTCGTTACCTTTGGTTGTGCAGGTCTGAAGATGAGCAGACCCACGTGTTCCTGGGCCCATCCTGCGAATATTCTTTGGGTAAAGTACCCAAAAATTTTCATTTCTTTTTCCTTTTTCTCGCGAGCAATGCTTCAGAGCTGCTTTTCCACCTCCTTTCTTCTTCTCTGGAAGAGAAAAGTCATCGTCATTCGAAGAAGACTTGCTGGACAGAAAATGAGTTCATTTCCGAGTGTGCTCACAGCAGCAGCAGGGAAACGCATTCAGGACCTACTTGGTATGCAAATGACAGTTTCATTAGGGTTCCACTGCTGCTGATGAGGACATCTCCCCACCTTTCAGAGAAATATACTATACTGCCCCTTTTCCTATTATGGCAAGGATCTCTGTATATAACATGAAATGCTCTGAGGAAGTGTCTTATTTGCTTCAAATTTGGGGGCATCAAGGACATGAACTTTGATATTCTGCTGATGGAAGACGAAATAGGTTTTTGTTTTGGAACTTTTCAGCATCTGTGGCAAGAATGCTGAAGTTCTGGAATGTGCCACTGTTGACTCCTGGTGGAATGCGGTCTCTAAAACGGTCGTCCTTTCAGTTCAAACTTCTACTCAAAAAAGACGACCAGTCCTACCCGAAGAGTAAAGGACTTATAAGAGTCAAGTAGGACAGTTAACAACTCTCCACTCAAAGGACTAAAGAATGTCTTGTTTTTAATTTACAAAATTCAGGAAATTATTGAAAATTACTCTGTGGAAGTATGACTACATATTCATAAGATAAATATATGTCATGTTTTTAAAAAAAAACTTTGTCCATATCAGGAATTTTTTCTGCTTCAGAAATTGTCAAGATCCATTTCTTTTCAATTGATGAGCTATGCATCTTTCAGCTTTCTTGAATAAGGGGTTAGGTCATCTTTTTCACACATTTCTGCTGACATATTTTTGAAGTGAGAATTGAAAATAATTTTTCAGATTATATTCCTTTGCAATTCAAAGCATCACCCTGTAGATTGATATGTTGTTGAAGCATTTTGTTGGATTTGAAATCTCATAACAACCAAGCATTTTATTATTGTGAATGATGCTTGTTCACATCAAATTATTCTCAGGGTTCAAAATGGGTAAACAACATAACGTTTTTATCTTCAGTCTTGAAATAATTTGTATTATGCATATTTTTACAGGTTGCAATGGTAAATTAAACTTATTTTTATAATGTAATATTCTATATATGATGTAAATTGATGACCCTTATAACCTATATATATATTTTCAAAAGAAAACCTTGAGAGAAAGAAAATAATACTGTATATGGCTAAGTTGTCTATTGTGGAAGAGACATCCAATAAAATACTGCATGCATTTTCTTTGTCAAGGTACCATTGGAAGAAGCTGAGGTTGTTTTTTGACAACAACGCATTCCAGGAAGTGTCTGGAGATGACACTTGCTTCCAGCTGTCCTCCACACTGGCCAAAGAGGCCAGGGCCAGCAGCAGAGCTGAGCCCATTAATGCCAGAGGCTACAGACTAGATGACAGCAGACTGTCCCCCTTGGAATTGCTCAGGAATGAGGTTGGCAATGAGTATGCCAGTGAGTCAATCCATTTATTATTTTTTTGCTCTTTATTACCTTACCATGTCCCATATATCTACATGTAATGTCTCTACTCACATATCCAACTCACTGAAGTCCAAAAGACCAGTCATCAAGTACAGACGTTGTAAATAAGGTATGGGAACTTCTGACTTAAGACCACCATTTGAGAAATGGCATAAATGAGGTGGACATTGTGTATTTTTATTTACCGACGTACGAACCACATATACTTAGATACCAAATTAACGATCACAAAAGAAAATATTGAACTTTAGAGATGTAAACCTTACGTAGTAACGATAAAAGTCCGATTGTAGACTTTTATTTTACGGCTGAAAAGGTATCCCTATATTCATCTATCTGAAATTTAAAGTTAAGAAAAGAGACTTTCATTAATTTTGATGAAGAATTGCTGAATAAATGAAAACTTTGTTCGTTATTTTAGAATAATTTCACTGTCTGCAATTTTGCAAGACTGGTGCAAACATTCCACTAGAGAATTATTCAAAACTGGCAAATTTACATTCCAATGCTAACTGATGAATTTTACGTCTTTTCCTCTATATAAATAAGATGCTTGACTTTTGAATTGTAAACCCATGTGAAATTGCATTGCAAAAATTTAGCATTCGTGCTCGAAATTAATTAAAATGGCGTTTCTCTAAAAATCAATCCCATGTATTATTTCGAATGAAGAAAGATCTGTGATGTCATGTGTAGTAGTTGTGAACAGGGAGTCATATAACGGTACTCCTAGTGTATGCCTAGATTACTCCCCGTATTGATTGGGAGAGTCCTCGGTAATGCAGATAAAAATAGTGGGAAGTACTGTCCCAGACAGGGAAAAGAAGGAAAAATTTGTGGGAATAATGGGACCGTGAGAGAGACACAGATGTGTTTGCTTCTGTCGCCGGCGTCACGGAGTAGTATCTCTTGAAAACATCGAAAATTGATTACGCAGGGATAGACTAGATGTCACTAAGCGCGTCAGTTGAAGTTTCGGCGGAGTATTGTTCCCAAGAGTCACCTGCGAGAGTATGTTCCAAGTTAGCTTAACGCAGTTTTACGTAGAGGACGCTCTATGTTCGGCAAATCATAATATCATGTTGCGTTTTCGACGCATATATACCGGTTTTGAACAATGAACCAACAAAAGGAGATATTTTTTTAATGTCCAATGTCGAAAAGCTAGTTTCTTTTTTTTTTATCCCGTGAGTGTTTTTGGAGGCAAATGTGCAGCATGTGAGTGAGATAATGCATGATTGTTTTTCCTTTCCTCCAGCACTTATGGTATGGGGAAACAGAGGAACATATACAGTATATATACAGTAGTCCCGTCAGCTCTGGTGTTTCCTTCAACAAGAACAACAACAACACATGTGTTCGGGGAATTGCGCAGAGGGTAGAACCCATCCACTTGAGGTGCTTCAGACTCTTGTTACACTCCTGAAAGGTGAGAGGGGAAGTGCACAAAGATGAGGGAGTGGGCACAAAGTTCCTTCACATTTTGAAACCAGAAAATAAAAAAATGGATATGACACACACTCAAATACAGCAGTGATTCTTGGGGGTTTTCTGGACTGGTGGGATGAAGAAACAAAATATAATCCAATATTTTAATTCCTAAGTTCATCTCCTGAACACAATAAATAAATCAAATGGAAAATTGCTTGAACCTTTTTCAACCATAACTCAAAGTGGAAACTCTGCAAATACCAGTACAGGTGGCACCTCAAAATTCGACATCCTAAACATCCCCCAATTTGCCAAAAGGACTATCATTGTGTTATTACAATTACTGCTGATGACAATAACAGTAACACTTAAGTCCTATTAAAGTTTTAACATAAAAGTTTAATAGTACGTTGTACTGTAACCGTAAAAACCTTCGAAAGGTGTCACTTTTAGTAGAAACGACGACTGTATGTGAGAAGTTTTTTAATCTTTATATTCTAAATGGTCTTGAATTTGTCTGCTTTTGTTGAAATGTTGGTTCAAAACTTGAAGAGTCAGCTGTGCTTTTTTGCTTAACGCACCAGCATGTGCAAAAACGTTATACAGTCAACCCCTGCACAACAAACCTCCCATACAAAAGATTTTTGCACAATGGACACCTGTGGAGGAAGTTTTCCCTCCTACCCAACAGACTCAATTTGCATAACAGTCTTCTGTTTGTTTAAATTTAATGGTGACAGGTAAAAATGTTAAATTTTTAATAATTGCATTTGCATAACAGATTTTTCACACAACAGACTAGTCTGTTGCACAAATCAAGTATCTTGTGTGTGGTTTGATTGTATATTCTACATCATGAAACACTTTGAAAGACAAGTGCATTTAGCCTTTCTGTGGCTTTCTCTTCCCTAAAACAGACTCAATAACTTGAAAATTCTAAAAACAAGATTATCTTGCCCACAGTGAAAACTGTCAACCTGTTACCTGTACCTATTTATGTCATACAGTATCCTCAATTTTATGCTGCAAAATATACCAGAATAAATGAAGGGATTGCATCAAGATTTGGCAGTCCATTTCTCAAGTTGAATTTTTGTTTAACAAGTTAAGATCCAGTTGTGAGAAGTGAAAAAAGGGTTTGATCATACTTCCATTTTTTGGTTTCTTCCAGTTTTAGGCTTGGCATTTGTGACTGACCTTGGGTACAGCTGAAATTTCATGACAAGGAAAAATATTCTGAAATGTATCTGTGATGGGAAAGAGCTTTCTGCATACATCTGAAGGTTAATATGCAGCTATGATTCCATTTACATTTGCAATGGGTTCTTAAAGAATTAACAGGGTTGTTTTGATTGATAAACAAGCTTTATTTCCTGTTTCTCAGCATTCATAAGATTCACAAAAAAATGTTTCCACATCCAAAACTGGTTTCTAACATGGGCAAGGGTGTCACTCATGAGTCATGACTCAATATGTACAATGTAGAACATTCATTTTAGACCAAGAGGAATAAAGGACTCAAAATGTCATGAGAAAATAGGCTGAATTTTCAATATTTCTATTGGTAACAATACAGTCAACCCCCATCTAACGGACTTGATTTGTGCAAGAGACGAGTCTGTTAGACAAAAAGTCCTTTACGCAAATTCAATTACATGAAAAATTAAAAATTTAAATTTTCAACACTAATTTTAAACCAAAATAAGTCTGTTTGGCGGATTTTGTCTGTTGGGCGGGAGGAAAAACTGCTTGCAGNCTTGTGTGTTCGTGCATTTGTATTGTTGTATTGAATGTTTGTATGTGGATGAGAACATTGTATAAAGAGTATTAATCCAGAATAAGAACTTGGTTCTTTTATTCTCGACTCAATCCTGTAATAGAAAGGACAACAATTTCTATTGGTAACAATATTTCCTTAAGGATACATTTTTGAACCTCTTCAAATGAATCTCTTCTCTCATGGTGTAAATGTAATTTTGCATGGTGTAAATGAAGGCAGCTCTGGTTGAACCTGTTGCTATTTTATTCATTTCGTGGTGTTAGTTGAATGTTCCTGTGTCTTTCTGTGTTTTTTTTCCTACACTCACCCTGTATAAGAAACGGCTTCTTCTTGTGTGATGGAAGTTGTTCACATGGTCAATTACCTTCTCTTATACTGAAGTATGTATAGGAGAGGGAGAAGTAGACCATGGCGCGAAACTTTTATAATTGCTTCCAGTAGAAGAGTTTTCTTCATTCCGGGACATGTTCTAAGAGTTTCTTGAAGGGAAAAATGGGGAGCATTTATGTGCATGTGATGGGATGCCACAGGTTGCTCTAAATAGTTTTGCTGATTCCATTTTGAGTTGATTGAGTTTTTGGTCACGAGTGCAACTTACTTCTGACCGGGTTTTCGATTAAGTCTTTATCTCGGCCTTTAGTGTCATCCATTATGGGGTCAACCCCACTCATTTAGAATTCCAGCCATCACTTGATAGTCTGTGGCATAGTAGAAATCTGGGTTCCAAGTTCGAAAACCATTTTTATTTTGCTGAAGTCCTAGTGCAGCTTTGCCAATATTTTTCCCGGACTTATTATGAACACATTAGCATGAAACTAATTTTTCATGCTGCTAAATTTTTGGGTTCAATGAGATTTTGAAGCATTGTTCATTTAATTAAGTTTTTAGATTCAAAAAATTGATGAGTCGCAAAATTTGTTTGACCTTCGGGTGGAGGGGAGACCTTTTTTGTTCCATGACAGTGCCAAGATTTTTTTTTGGAGCAGGTATCTGCACTTTGTTCGACCAAAGATCTCCAAAATGCAACTTTGGCTGAGCAGCCAAAGCTGAGAAAAATCCTGCAAGAAGAAAGCCATTGCTTTGATAATCCGGCATCAATAATGCTCATGGCAGGAATGCAGAAAAAGTGCCACCCAACAGTAATGTTTTTTTTAATTTTTCTTCAGGAATGCTGAACAATTTGGGATTTTTCTGAAATTTGCATTGTCTAATTTTTCTTGTTTCCCCCTTTTTATACTACTTTTGGCACAACATTTTGCAGATGTTCCCTGCACTGCCACCCGAAGGGTTAATAAGTTCAATACAGTACTAAACTCTTTGGGCTGAAAGATCTTCTCAAAAACTTTGATGTGGCCTATAATTTCTTTAATAGGCTACACTGACTTTACACTTGAGGGCTTAATTAATACATTTTGAGAAATACTCATGTTAATTGTGCTGAGTGAAATATTTTTCATGCTTATATTGACCATGAAAAATTGAAGCACAGCTCATTTGATTGTACAGTACATATTACATTTTTGAACGCATAAAATAATGTGAAAAGACAGGAATATTTATTGAAAGTACATAGGATATTGTAAATAGGACCACCAATTGGAATAATTAAAAAAATTATGTTCTCTCCTGTGTTTCACGCTTTGAAAATTTGTAATTATTCTTGCATCCTCACTCACTGAAATATTTGCTGAAATTTCAAAATGACTATTCAGAAATGTCTGTTTGAGAACAGCCTATTTTTTAATGAGTATAAATAATTATATATGAAATGTTTATATTAAAATATGACTTTATCATGCATTATTAGGACTTCATTAAATTAAAACTGCATTAAATCAGAAATTTAGTAAATGATGACCATATGATTATGATTATATCATATGCAGGGATGCACATAACTAACTTTACTTATGGTCTTTTGTCTTGTTAAAATACCGTAATTTTGTCACGGAAGGAAAGAGATCGCCGGCTAAAACCGGTACGAATATAAACGCACATGAAACGAGCGAATTCACGCGAAAACAACCTGCTCGACCTCTAAAACCGGTCAAAGGAACAAGACCCAATCATAACTATCTACTCAACGGAAGCTGTAAAAAAAAAAATCCTCCGTCACTTCGTCTCCGAATTCGTCGGAATTCGTTCGTGTTCAAATCATACCCTTCTAATGGCGACATTTTCACTGCTGTGAATATTCGTGAACTTGTGAAAATCGAACGTTTGTGGAGAACTCTGGAGAATCAGTCTCACTCTATAATTGTGCGTGGATTTATTTGATGATCTTTTCTTTCAAAAATATCTTTTGTCAAGATTCAGGGATATTTCCTGACATTTTCTGAGACGAGCGAGTGTGACTTGACAACGGAAACTTTCCGCAAATTGTTTTTCCCGTGCATCAGCTTTTCTTGGTTCATTTATTTATTTATTTTCAAAAGTTACACAGAAAGGTGGCGGCATCTATACTGAAGGGTTCTCGCAACAATGGATGGTACGTGTGACAATGTGACACAAACATGCTTTTCCCTCGCTGGTGAGTTTTTTATCATATTTATTATTATATCTTTTTTCGAACCTCGGCTTGTTTTGAGATTCTGGTGCAGGGATTTCTGTTCGGGAATCAGGATAGTGTCATTTTTCCAGCAAAAACCTATTTATCAAAGGGAGGAATAGCAATCTCATAGATTGCTGATGCTCACTGGAAAGAATTCCCCATTTGATGCCTGGACTTGTTGTCCATATATATACAGTATATGTATACATATGAGACATGATTTTTTCAGCATTCTGCACAATAAGTACACACACACACACACACAAACACACAAACATGAGAACGTTCCACTTGATCGTGACAAACAAGGAAAAATGGTTCCGAATTCTTTGTATACAAGGGTCAATTCATAAGTTTTGATATTTTTTGAAAAAAACTGTATGTAAAGTAGATCAAACAGAGTCTCAACAATTCCAAAAAATTGCATGTTCTTGCATAGTCCCATCATTTTGCAAGTCTTCAGCGCTGTTCCACCAAGGTTGTTAATTGCAATAAAAAATTTAATTGCCCAATTGCAATTGCATTCCACTAAGAAAATTGTTCTATCAAAATTGAAATTTTTTTGGTGCTAATGTTTTGAATCACAATTGACAAGGATTTCTTTGCCTTATCTCCCAATTGCAATCACAAAGGTAATCACAACTCTTTTCAGGATTTTAATGTTCTGCTTTTTACGCTTATTATTGTAATATTTTCCTAGTTTATATCACATTAATATTTTTAAGGCAATCCTGTTAATGGATCAGTAAAAAAGTATTAAACAATCTGACCAAAACAATACTTTTGCATCAAATGGAAGCAATCTTTTCTCATTCCATTTGAATTCTCACCAAAAAAAATAAAACATCTGCCTTGATAAAGGAATAAATTTAAAATATTATGAATTAGGCTAAATATCCTTCTTAAGGTATTATTCAATGAATGTATGCCAAAAATCGTTTATTGAAGTGCACATATCAATTTAAAAATACTATGATAAGCTTATTTTTGCACCAAAGTGTCTGAAGTTGAAGCCATAAAACATATATCCTCTTCCATCCACTACTTACACAGATAATGAAAAAAAGTTAATCCTTTTTATTCAATTTTGATCATGATTTGAATCAATTTGTTGAAGAAAAATGCATACACTGATTTATCTATTTGGCTCTGGTTGGGTTGTGATTACATCAATTGTTCCCCAATTGCAAGTACAATCACAAGCGTTCAAAAAGTAATGCCCAATTTTTATCACAATCACAATGCCTGTACAAAAGTTCATTGGCCATCAAAATTTCCATTTGGGGCTCAATCATCAACCCTGTGTTCAAAATACTATGTGCTAATTTCAATATACAATATTTGCTTCACGCAATAAACTCAATGATCAAAACAGTACCAAAAATAAAGTTTTGTGAGTTGATAAAGCTGCTTTTGATTGGCGGAAATAATCCCGTGCTGGTTGGATTTATTGCATGAAAGGAATGCATTTAAATTTGCAGAGAAAATGTTGAGCATCGCTGAAGTGTTGCCCAATGATGGGACTATGCAAAGAATTTTTTTTTTTAGAATTATTGAAACTCCATTGGATGTATTTCAGAAAGTCTCAAAACTTATGAACCAACCCTGATATACTCGAATGGATAATGTGTACATGGTGTCATTTCATCAGACCTCGACTTTCGTTTTTGTGCCCCCAAAATTTGATGGACACTGGATGCATATGTAGAATTGGTTTCTTAAGAAGGGAACAGATTCATCTAGTTTTTAAGCGTTACAAATCAATCGATTCTCTTCCTAGAGGAAAAAGTCACTGACCATTTAAAGAAAATAGCCTTTTGAGAGCCCCTGAAATGCATTTTGCTTTGAGCAAAGCAAAAGGCACGCGTTACTAGGACAGTCTTTATGCTGAGGCCTTAATTCTCTTGATAAATTGAAGGCATCTCACCTTTATCTGCTGGGTATACAGAATTTTGTTCAATTATTTGTGTGACTGCTGCTGAAGTCATAAAAAATTGAAGTTTACTGGGAAGATGAAGGCATTTGTATGACATTTCCAACTTGCATTTGAATGACATTCCATCCTTATTTGGTTTTCTATGTCAACTGTATCTTTAAGATGACAAAGCATAAAATTAATCCCATATTTTTTTGGTGCACACTGAAAATTTCATGTTTTCTAGTGGTTATGCCATAAAAAGCTCCCATTTTTACTTGACATGTCTTGATATTTACAATGGTCCCCAGGGTTAATTGTGGTCACAATTAATACTTGACCCTAATTTTCTCTATGGGCGAATGTCCACATGTCAGATCATATTTTTCCATGGACTTCTATGAGAACATATTCAATTGGCTCTCCTGAATCATGTATGTAAAAATGGCAGTGGAAAGTCAACCAATAATTGATTGAAATTTATTTTATCAACTTCAACATGCACAGAATACATATGTACAGGAAAGCAACATAAAATCTTACCATTTGGCATAAAAATGAGCCTAAAAAAAACAAGGAATAAGCACTTTTTGTTACACCCTGATGTTTACAGATGATGAAAAAAACTAGGAAGAGATGCACAGAAATATCTGTTTTTGATGATAAATTCAACTAAATTTTAATAAGATTCATTTGAAATGTTTGTGAATATGAATTAGTAAAAGTCCTCAAGAAATATCAATACGTTAGAACATCTTGAGTTTTTTTCACTCAGAAATTCAGCAAGCGTCCAAATCTTGAGAAATTAACTGGATTGTGGGGCAGATTTTTTTGGGTGACAAGTGTCCCTAAGTTGAATTGTTTTTATAAGTTGGGGCGTCCGTATCTCGGGGTCACATAAATCAATCAGGATAATATCAAAGAAAAACGAGGAGATCATTTGGAAGCCAATACATTTCAAACCTGGAAGCAACAAATGTCACAGAGGTTGCTCCAAGTAGTTTCCTTCCCCCAAGAAACTGTTCCTACATGAGGCCAAAATAAAACCTGCACTAGATGTCACTACAAGGCTTCCTCATGAATTATATCAGTCTCAATCTCTCTTTTTTTATGAGTATGTGAGGATGTTTATGGCTGGAAAAAAAGTGAAGCTTATATTGCGCAATGGGAAAGACAGGTTCATTTTTTCAGCTGAGAAACTGAGGGGGGGGGCTGTTGAATATTCAATCTGGAAGTCATGGAGGATTTCCTGTTTTGGGACCGAATGCTTCAAGGGGAACCTGAGACCCTATTTACATGTGCTTTCAGTCTTCATAAAATCCGTCCATCAAGTGCTGTATACCCTCACAACTTCTCTCTTCTTTTTTTTTTTTTGCTGATGTTGTTGAGTGCTTGTGTATCATCCAACTCATTTGCCTGGTGAATAATAACAAAAAAAGATTTCATCCAGAAATACACATACAAAAAAAATTTAGTAGATTAAAAAATTAATCTAAAAAACCACGTTTTCAATAAGCAAAAAATAACCTTAAATGTGGTGCGCATCTATTTCATTTGTATTTCACTTCTTCCCAACAATCTCCATGCGCACCACGTTTAAGGTTATTTTTTGCTTTTTGAAAACGTGGTTTTTTAGATTAATTTTTTAATCTACTACATTCTTTTGTGCTTTTTAGTCTTACTTGAAAAACGTGGTTTTTTAGATTAAATTTTTAATCTACTATAATTATTTTATTCTTTTTAAAAAATATTCTTATAATTATTCTTTTCAAAAGAGATTGCATTGTCATCAGTTTCTAAGCTATCCTGAAAGTTTCAGCATGCTAGCTAGTCGGGAAGTGAGCGAAATTTTGAGTTGCAGAATTTGATCTGGACAAACAAACAGACAAGAAAGCGAGTTAATAAAAACGTGTTAAAATTTCCTCTTTTCCTGGGGTAAAACCGGGATGTAATTTTTTTTTTTTTGAGGTTTTTTATATATGCATCGGTTTTCGGAAAGTAGAGGAACTTGATGAAGGACCTTCACCAGACCAGATTTCCCCAGCTTTCCACATCAATCCCCAACAAAAGCGAGGAGATGAATTCTTTCTTACATGCATTATGAATCCATCTCTTTTCTTTTCCCCCCACATCCAAGTGCAAGAAAGCTTTTGTCCCCCAATAAAAGGTGTCGCAGAGGAGATGCATGAAAAATGCATGCAGAAAAACAGCGGAATATGCAAGTCACAAAAGAATTTTTTTTGTGGTATTTTCCAAAAAATGTACATTCATTTAAATATTAAAGGGGGTCAGCTGAGGCAATAATTGGTCACGCGTTTCCTGGAATCGAAGAAAGCTGCAATTTTTTCTTGTTGGCCGTGATGAAAGATTTTTGCAAGCATATATATTTTTGGCAACAGTTCTACTTGCGTGTTACATGAAGAGCATATATAGTATATTATGCATTTATCTCTGGAGGATGCAGAGTACTGCAAAGATAGCACACACCATTACTTCATGCAGAAATAACGGGCAAATACATATTCTTGCCTTTTGAAATAACCCCTGAGGCATCAGGAATCTGATGAAAGACTGCATTGATACTGATGGTAACTGACTCTTCTTATACTCCTTATATATGTACAGGGTGTGGTTAGGAACATTTTTTGGCATTTAGAATTACAAATGTGGTCTGATGTGATATTAAGAATTGGCACTTGTTACTAATGATGCATAAATTCCTTGAGCTTGAAATTTTACAATGTGTCGCGCCTCCTACTGGAGCATACATCAAATTTGACATGAATGAATGAATGAATGAACAGAACACTTTATTTACTGCTTTTCAGCGTTCACAAGGTTCACTCAAGATTTCCACAACCAAACCCACCTTCCCACCCAACCCAAATCCACTCAATGACATTTTAATGACTTCAGAGCATGAAAGCACAAATTGCCAACAAAAAAAAAACAAAAAAACAATACAACATGAAATACAACTGGACATCTGACATGTATGCATACATTTGACATAACATATTTATATC